GACTCCCAGTAAAAGTCAGGAAATGCTACAGTTTGAATGTGCAATGTCCCCATAGACTCATGTGTTTGAGCGCTTGATCTCCTGTTGATAGTCTTGTTTGGGGAGGTTGTGGACCCTTTGAAACAAGTGGCAGGGCTAGCAGAGGTGGGCCCGTCGGGACTGGCTTTTAAAGGTTATACCTCGTCCCTGCCTCTGGCTCAGACTCTTTTATTCTTGATCTTCAAGATGCAGCAAGCCTGACCACAAGTTACTGCCACCCCAGTCCAAGCCACCTCAGCCTCCATGCCTTCCCTCCCACGGTCCATATCCCTTGAACTGTGAGCCGAGGTAAACCTCTCTTGCTTTAAGACGCTTCTGCCAGGCATTGGTCATGGTGATGAAGAAGGTAAGTAATGCTGGTAATAAAGTATAACTTTTAACTCATCATCATCATTGATATCGGTTAACAAACACAGGAGATCTAGTTAAACTGTTTTAATAAAATCAATGAGAGCAGGTAGAGATCTACTACTATTCTGCAAAGGTCTCTGATCATAACTACATACTTAGCATTTAATAAATGCTGGTTCAATAGGCTACATTGTTTTATGAGTTATGTTTATAACTCTAGATATTTTGTGAGCCAACTTACACTTCTAAAGTTACTGTAAATTTTATAAATCTGTCTGAGACATCATTCCTTAATTCCAAAGTCCATAGCCAACTGTTTATTGGATAATGGATAACTAAATGACTTGGTGAAAACGTAAGTTCTTGATAGTCATATTCACCCCCCAACCTGACCCCATCTTCTCCCCACAAAATTATTTTTCACAAATTTCTCTGCTTCAGTTGATGGATGATATTATGTTTACTTAGATCTAAACACCCAGCTATCCAGAACTTTCTTTATCTCATATCCTATACCCCAGGGATCGTTTTGATTCTACCAAAAAGACTAAAACATATACACAGTTCTAACAATTCCCACCACAATTACTGTTACCACCTTTGACCAAGCCACCATCATCGATCATACAGTTCCATCCTATCTATTGCCTCTTCTTCCATCTTTGGAAGACTCCTGTACTGAAAATGATTGGCGGCTGCTTATCCCACACAGAGTGAAATCTACAGTCCTAACCATGGTTCACAGGGTACTATGTGGATTAAGACCCATCATGTTCCCAGACACATCTCCTGTCACGACCGTTCCCTTGGTGCCCACCTCTAACGACACTAGACTGATCCTACAGAATGCTAGCTGCAGGGTCTTTCCATGGGCATTTCCTGTTATGTTCTTGCCCTTAGTACCTTCATGGATAGCTCCCACTTCCCTTTAAGGCCTTATTCAAATGTGCCCCTCTTATCTACATTATCATAACTACCCAGTTCTAAATTGAAATCTTCATTCTCCTCCACGTTTTTTTCTCTATGGCAATATCACTATGTCCTGAGAAAGCATCTCTCTGGGACATCAAGTACAGAAGCATGACTGAGCAAGAGTCTGGTTTGCTGTTCTCTGAACTCCACCTCTGGGTTTGTATCTGAGCCATGTATCCCAGGGGCTACTCCCAGCCAATCACTGAATATGACAGGAATACTAACATGAGCTCCTTCCTACAGGACACAGGAGCACTCTGACAGTTGCCCTTGGCTCCAGGACTCTCAAGTGTCATAGTCAATATCCCTTGAACAGCACTGCAGAACCAGCTGCTCCCACACAACTTTCCCTCTCCCTTCCACTCAGATTCCCAAACTGATCCGGTTTCAGCCTTTTCTGCTTCTCTCTCAATTTTCTCTTATATATTCATTTCTCATGATAAAGTTTTGTCCACATAGCCTTTCTTGGCATTTGTTTCTCAGAGGATCCAGAATAGTACAATCACTATTCTGGTTCCTCTGGGTAATATATTGCATATTATATTTGTCTTTTATTGCTTACTAGAAGATAAATTTCTAGAGAACAAGAATTTTGTTTAAGAATCCCAGACACCTAGCACAGTACTACCTGATGGCCATTCAGTAAATGAATGCAGGGTAAATGACTGAAAAGTGCTTGAAAAATAATATCAGTTTTAACAATATTAATTGTGTGGATGAATACACACACAATACTTATCAGCTCTCAAAATTCTGCTCTGTCCTAAATTCCTCTTGCTTGCCTCTCTCACCCAAGAAGAAAAATCTTTGTGTTTTCCTACAGCAAAAATGAGATTTGGGTGATAAATTGATTTTAGGAAAAGATCCACATTATTAATTGGGTGGCTGCCCATTAGTTTTGGCAAGCAAATGCAGAATTCTGACTTGAGATATTCATCATGGCTGCTTTCTTGTCCTTAACATCAGTCAGGATCTACAGTTAAATAAGCAAAATCAAAAGGTTTGAAGATTTAATCTTTTTTGTTGGTTTAAACATCCATCCAATAATAATCAAATTTGATCCCTGCCTAATTCAGCCTCTTATTCTCTACTCCTAAATGTCTCTCAAGAATAGAAGAAAAAAAGACCAATTTTTCTCCAGTATGATCTCAGATTCCCTTTGAAATATACTTTTAATCATGTGTATGGGAGGGGGTGCACAGGAGTGCAGGTGCCTGCAGAGGCCCTGAGTCAGATCTCCTGGATCTGAGGTTACAGGTGAGTATGAGCCCCTGACATGGATGCTGGGAATCAAACTCAGGTCCTCTAGAAGAGGAAGACATGTTCTTAACCACAGAGCAATCTTTCCAGGCCCCAGACCCTTTTGTTTTTATTTGATTTTTTAAGTTAGCTTACAAAGTAGTGTATTTCCAGACAGGACCTTCAGATACAGTTCATTTTGACCTGTTCCCCACCTCCCCCACTCCCTGCCCCCAGTTCTCTGCCTATCCTTCCTTGCAGAACCTTTCTTCTATCGTCCTCTCCTGTTCCACTTAGCTTTATTTTCTTCCTCATCCCCCTTTTTCTTTTCTAGTCACATGGGACCTGTGGTGGTTTCAGTAAAAATGGCCTCCACAGGCTCATACATTTGAATGCTTGATCTGAAGTTAGTGGAACTGTTTTAGGAAGGACGAGGAGGTGTGGCCTTGCTGGAGGAGGTGTGTCACTGGGGATGGGCTCTGGGGTTTCTATCTGCCTACAGTCTGGGAATAAGATGGAAGCTCTCAGCTACTACTCCAGCACCATGCCTGCCTGCTACCATGTTCCCCACCATGATGGCCATGAACTCACCCTCTGAAACTGGAAGCAAGTCCCCAATTAAGTCGTTTATAAGTTGCCTTGGCTTTGGTGTCTCTTCTCAGCAATTAAACAGTCACTAGGACAGGACCCTTTAGTTTCCTCATGCTTACACATATTACCTCTCATCTGTATACACACAGTTAACAGTTAGAGGCCACAATTCCCAGGTGAGAGAAAGAATATACAGTATTTGTCTTTCTGAGCTGGGTTACTTTACATAAAATAATGTTTTCCAGTCCCATCCATTTTCCTACAAATTTCATTACTTTGGTTTTCTTTATGGCTGAATAAAATGCTACATTTTCTTTATCCATTCATCTGTTGATAGACATGTAGACTTGTTCTATGTCTTTGCTACTATGAAAGGAATTGCACCTAAGTATGGATATACAAGTGTCTTAATAGTAGGATATGGCATCCTTTGGGTATATCCCCAGGAGTGGAATAACTGGATCATACAGTAGTTCTATTTTTATTTTTTTTAACAACCCTCCACACTGATTTCTACAGTGGCTGCACTAGTTTACACCACCAACAACAGTGTTTGTGTCTAATTTTTCCTGTTCTTTATATATTCTAGATATTAAACCCCTTGTGATTTCAGATTCTTGAAAGTGATGAGCTTCCTGTGCAGGTGACTGACTCAGGGTGTGGTCTCTGTGGTTGGGAAGATCAGAATAAAAGTATGAAGCAATCTTATTTCACTGAGTTCTGTAAATCTCCCCAGAACAGAATAACATAGGGTTCTGCCTAAAGTTTTCCATCTAGCTGTTAAGTATCCCGGGAGCTTGGTGGAGGAGGATGCTGGGGTCCAACTCCCTCATAAAGATTGACTTAACCTTTAGCCTGTGTCTCTCCTTGCCCTATGTCCTTGGGCATTGCTTAATGGATGTCTGTTACAAAGTCAGACAGCTGACATTCCCATCCCGGCTTTGCTACTCATTAGCCATGTGGCAAATGATCTCCCTGAACCTGTTGCCTCATTTTAAAATAGGAATAATAGCACCTATCAACACCTCGCAGATAAATAAGATGAAATGCTTTTGTCTACGGACAAATATTTGCTACTACTATGACAAATATCAGAAAGACAAAGAAGTGTAAGCCGTGCATTCATTCAAGGGCCAGGCTTGTCTGTTTAACCTCCCCGGCTGAACGGTGATATTAAGGGGCTGATAGCATCCAAACACATAATAATGTGGTGGACGGTAATTGGGGTTCAAGACTTCAAACTGCATCCAAAGAATAGGGAGGGAAAAGAAAACAAAAGTCGATTGCAGGGCTTCCTGGTCTCTACTTTGACCTGAGTTTCACCGGGCCTCGCTGCCTTCCTCTCAAGGGTAGGGACTGTCCACCTAGGGTTACCGAATGCCTGGTCACACTCTCTCGGGCTCACTCCTTTTCCTTGCATAACTGTTGAGGTCAAAACGGGCACCCTCCCGTAATTGAAGAGTGTCATTTCTGAATGAGATCCAAAAACAGGAGCTGCGTTCCCCCAGACATCCCAGGATGGCACCAAGAACTTCCAGGGAGTCAGTTTTTTAGTATCAGCGCCTTAACACCTTTGATTTTTCCCCAGACCTAAGATTCCAAGGTCTGTGACAGAAGGTTGGAGGTGGGACTTTGGGAGGGGAGGGGAGATTAATGTCAATATCCTACTGTAGGAGTTCTTAGGTAACTACAGGAGCCATCATTGTTATCTAAAGCCAAGCAGGGGGAGGAACACAGACAAATGACTTAGCACTTATGCCCCTGTCTCTGTCTCTGTGTGTGTGTGTGTGAGTGTGTGTGTGTGTGTGTGTGTGTGTGTGTGTGTGTGTGTGTGTGTAAGCTCTGCGGCCAGACTGAGGTCCACTAAGTGAGGTAACCTTAAGCACACAGGCTCACAACACCCAGGGTGTGCTGCTGCTGCGGGAACCCTGGCTGGCCTGACACTCCGCAGGCACACACACACACACACGCACACGCACGCACGCAGGGCAGTTCCCTGTGCCGCTCCTGGAAAATAATGACTTGGAGAAGGAACAGTTAATAAGAAAATGTGCCTCGCTAACCGTGCACAGAACAACAAAGAGCTGGCAGCCCCTGAAGGAAAAGGGCTTGTGCGGCTGCCGTTCAAACTTGTCAGTCAACTGGTGCCAGCAGCCTCAGCGTCTGCCTCCCCAGCACACCCTCATTACATGTGTCTGTCTGGCCTCATCTGTGCCTCGGCTCAGAGGCGCTCCTGACAAGCCGGGATTCTCTTCCTCTCTCCCGGGTGCAAAGAGCAGATTTCTCTCCGTGTCTCTTCTGTCACCTCTAGCTCCGCTCCCCAAGGAGGCACCTTGATTTATGGTAGCTTGGGACTTCCTTCGGCGTCTGCCTGTCCTTGACTTCTAGAATGGAAGAAGCTGAGCTGGTGAAGGGAAGACTCCAGGCCATCACAGTAAGTCTGCGCAGAGTTTTCAGTCATTAAGGTGGCCGCTTAGATGAGCGGCACCGTGGCTAGCTGTCCTTGTCTCCCAGTCAGTCGTCACAGGTGGAAAAACAGAACTGTCAGCCTTCATGGACTCCAGTCTGTTTCTCTTAACCCTTGGGACCCGCTGTGACACGGGGGCTTCAGAACCTGAGATCAAGGAAAATGTTTCTGGATTTTATAAATGGTGTTTGCATTTTAAACAGCCGTCAAGAGTTTTTTTGGTTTTGTTTTTAAGTACTTTGTAAAGTCTCACTCACCTTCTGGGTAATATTAGAAATGTGGTTTTTTTCCTTCAAGTTCCTTCTCGCTGACAAAAATTTTTAATAGCCACCCAATCATGAAACATTTTAAAGCAGTGAATATAGCCCCCAAAAGTTAATTTTTTTTTAAAGGAGGATCCCAAAAGGAAGAAAATCTGAAACTTTTTTTATTCTTAGTGTCATAGTATATGCCAGAAAACCTAACCGAATTAAAGCAAAGCTTGGCATATACTCAAGCGAAGTGTTAAACGGGAGAAAACTCGGGAAGCCACGCACGAGAATAATTCTCAGAGATCAGTTTCCAGAGTAGACATAGCCCGGATAGGATCTCGATAAAGGAATGCCATGCATGAGATGGATTGGAAAATATTTCCCTAATGCCAGGAAGAAAAGTAGCACATTTTATGTTTATTCTGGGAAAGAGTCAAAGCAAGGAAAGAATTACTTTTCTTAAATGATACCATTCTTTTTCTTTTGCTTCCCAAGTGTTGTATCTGGCAATAACCTGGAAATCCCGGCCCAGTCATCTATCATCATTAGCTGTAACTTGGGGTGGCACTTTGGAGGAAAAGCAGCTTTGCAAATCCACACTCCTGTGTGTCACATTTTCTGCCCCTGAAAAGTGACTGTCAAAAAGAAGTAAATACTTTTTCAAAACTGATACTGAATCATGGAAGGCATGAGGTCATTCCTCCTTGCTCGTCAAATTCTCATCTTAATTAAGCTAATTCTAATTTAGGATTTTTTTTTTTACTAGGTGAAGGCAGTGGGTTTTTTTTCCTACCCAGAAAGTATTGAATAAATAAAAATATTTTCTCCACCAGTGAAAAGAAGCCAAGAGTCCACAGATAAGCTTGGGCGCTTTTTTATAGAGAGTACTTTTTAATTTCTGAGTTCTAATCACTGTATTTTTTCTTTCACCAAAAAGCCTTGGGCTGGCTTTTTGTTAGTTTGGTTGTATTGTAAAATCCAGCCCCAGCCTCAGCTGTCCCCCTTGAAGGGACAGGAACTCCACTGAACTCTGTTGTTCTTGGCATGGCCTTTTTACATTACAGCTGTTGTCTGAAGGTTACTTCACTGAACCGGGTTGTTCAGAACTAGGCTGCTCTCCCCCCCACCCACCCACCCCCAAAATTCCAACTCCTAAATAACCAGATGAAACCAAGACTCAATGAAGCACACTTCTTCTGTGCTTCTGCTGTTGAAGTGGGGAACGTCTCGTTTTAAAGTCTTGTTACGTATGGTTTGTAGCTTAGACCATTTGGTGAAGTAGTCCATGGTCCAAACAGATGGCCGCATACAGTTATTCAGAGGGCCTAGGAATTTTCAGAGGGTTCACATGCAAAACAGAGATAGAAGGCAGGTCAAAATGCCTTAAAAAGGAATTGAGAGGGTTAATTCCTGAATATAGAGCTATTTTTATTATTAAAAATAATAAAACTTTTTTTTAATGGTCCTGTGAGCCTAAACACATCCCATTAGAGTTAATTAAGTCTTTGAAGTAAGGTCACAAAATTCAGCTTGAAAGTAAAATTCTTGCTTAAAGCCTGTAGGGCAAAAACTGGCCAAAGTTTATAGGAGCGAATTTCCATTAGCCTCCACCGCACAGGGCTCGGTCCCATTTGTCACCACCTAGAGGGGAAATGAAGCACTGCTGTGTCCATGGAGACAGCATAACTGCCCTCCCCCTGGGCACCCTGGGAAATGCCAGCTTTCTCCACCCTGGCCTTGCCCAGGAAGCCGCCCCAGCTATTCTTTCTACCTAGGAAAAGAAAACACACAGTTACACAGGGAACTTTCAAGAATTATCTCATTTCTGAAAGGCATTAAAATTATGGGGCCCTGATCCAGACTGAAACTCAGAGATCATCATTTAACCATTCTCCTAGACTGAAATATATTTTTATATACTTCAATGACTGCATCAGAAGCACTTTCCTAAGCAGCAAGACACAGCAACACACAGACTTCATTTTGTAAGAAGAGAAAACAAAATCAAACTTTGACGCTGCAAAGTAGTTTGATTTTTTTTATTAAATTATGATCCTCTAACTCCTAGCAATAAATAAAATAAACTTCATTATTATACTTACTCCACAGGGTTTCAAGTGACTAAAAAGGCATTCTTCTTACTGTGAATAATTGAAAAAAAGTTCATCTGCATATAATTTGGCTGAACGAAGTGACAATATTGCTTTAAAAATATTTTAACCCTGTGATGATGCCATTCATTTCTCATACCAGTAAATTTAATTTTAAGATTATTCGTAAATTTTCTCAAAGATTTAAAAACAATGAAGGCCGAATTATGAAAGTACTCGGAAAGAGTCATTGAAAGGCAGGCCTTTCAGTCTGGATGCTCGAAACAGAATCTCTTATTTAGTTACCCTCACATTCTGCCTTCAATGCTCCACCCTGTAGCAATTCTTCATTTGCTAAATTGATGACCAAAATACTCGTTAATCAACAAGTTCCATTTCCAACTGTAATTTGAAAACAGGGCAACTTTACACTGACTAAATATTATACTTTGAACCCCAAAAGTTTCTTGAGGCTATTTTCAAGTCAGTACACATTTAACAAATAACTGATTTTTTTTATACAGACAAAGAGCTGTTGACATAGACTTTTAATTCCTTTTTTTTAAAAAATGAGGTCCCACTATGTAGCCCCAGGTAGCTTGGAACTCACCATGTGGACTAGGCTGGCCTTGAACTCACAGAGATCTGCCTGCTTCAGCCTCCAAAGTGCTGGGTTTAAAGGTGTGAGCCAATGCACTCAACTTGAAATTGATATTTAGTGTTACTGGAAATGGGGATACCAGTTTCTCTAGTACTTTGAGGAATGTGCAGGATGGCATGTCACACTGACGACAACAAGATCTCTACAAGCTACTCCCTGGAAGTAAACACAGTTCAAAGTGAAGAACAGAAAAAAATCCCAGATGGGTTCCTAGAGAACAGAGAGATCCCCCTCAGATGAGTAAAATCCAGTCAGTCTACTTGTCCTTCCATGGGGAATATGCTGCTGCATCTTATTTCCTCTGGGAATGTTAGAAAACACAGCACCTAACATTGCCCTACTCAAATGGAAATACTGGATCTTACACATCTGGAGATTATAGACTTGGGAACACAGGGTATTTCTGGACAATGTTCTGATGAATTCTGAGAACTAATGTCAATTTGCAGAGAACAGACCCAATTAGGAGATGAGAGGTAATGAGTTAGCTGGTACATTTATTCTCGCTGAAAGGCTTAACTTTGATGGTTATGGATGTGCCTATCAACTCATTCACACCTTCATTCAAAGGCTGATCATCTATTGAGTCTTTTGCATCTAATTTGAAAGTTTTATGAGGAGAAATTGAGGGCATCAGGTGTGAAGGTGGGAAAGGGCTGCAGTTGTGAGTGGAGTGATGGAGTGGAGTGATTTGGGAGGGTGGGCCTCCCAAAAGGGTTAACACCTGGGCACAGACATGAAGGAGGTAGGCTCTCTCAAAAGTTGAGCCACAGTAGGAATCAGAAGCCAAAGCACCTGCCCAGGCCTCCCTCTGTTTGGCAAGGGCCCACAGAAAGTTCTGACATTGCAAGCTGAGCAACGGAGCCAGATTTGCAGGCCAAAGCTGCCCATGACGCAAAATACTAAGGCTCTCTCACATTTCCCCGGGTCCACTCCCTATTTCTTTCCACTCCCAGTGAATATTTTCTTGACCTAAAGGAATTTAGGAGGCAAGAAGTTCTTGCATAAAGCCGAGGAAATCTCCCCCATTTTAAGAAAGCATATTAAAATCATAACATAATACTAATTCTCGATAGCTCTTCAGTTCACAATCCCTATCCCTGGGCACTCCCACTCTGTCTCTGTCAATATTTGGGATCATCTAACAGTCAGTAAAGTAACTGATCACCCAGAAGCAGGACGTCCTGTTAAAATGTGAGGGTACCAGCACATAACCAAAATGCAAGAAGGACCCAATATTTGAGATGTCAAGGTAATACCACCAAAATATTAGAATCAGAGCTGGCCCTTTCTCAGCACACTGGCTCTTGTGACTTCACAGGTCACTTGGCCTAAAGAGACCCTGTGCCAGAATGCTCAAACAATGAAGCTCTGCCGTTTTCCACCATGCTGTACCAAGATTACATGTTTCTTCCAGAGAAGGAGAGGTTTCTTCAAACAAATGTGCCAGGCCATGTTTCTTTGCCAAACATAACAGCCCACCCATAAAGGAGGTCATGTGATGAGGTACAATAATTTTGATAGCTCATTAAGGAAACTTCTTTTTGATAGTGGGAAGGTTTTTCCAATGTGCTGCTGAGTGATAAAGTTGCTCTGCTAGATCCTCTACTGACAGAATTTTCTGGACCTCACTGGATGATCTAAAATAAAATATGCTTCTTTAGAAAACTATGATCCAAACAAACTCTAGTCTCAATGTTTAACTACAGTCTAAACAAATGTTGCCTACTTCAATGCTATTATTGAAACAGAATTTCCACTTTCCCATCTCTAAGTCTCAAAGCATACTCATCATGTGCATCCCCGTGGGGCAAGAAGTATCCTTGGTGGATTCTACTGACCCCATTTTCCAACACGGATTATTCCTCTACCCCTGTAGTCACCGCCCACCTTCCTCAGTCTGCTATGACTAGAAGTGGGCAAAGAGACTCTGCTGCCATTTCAGAAGCACTTGGCACTGTTTTC